CCCGTTCCAATTCCGTGGTCACCTATTGCCAGCCCATGTTGGACTCTAGGCCCGTTTGAGTCAACACGTAAACATAATCCTAAGTGTATACAAGTTGAACTTGACCATAGAGATCTGTTGCAAGAAGACGAGGAGTTCGAAAGGCAAAAGCTTGTTGCAGAAATCGCTGAAGAATTGAGACCACAACACCCTCAACCTGAAGCTTTCAACCTATGTGTATGTCAAAGGAAGAACAACACCTAGTCAGTTCAACGTGGTAATGCTAAAAAAATCTTGTGTCACTTTAAAATACCATTCAAATCCAGGGAAAGAAAAGGAGACCTAGTTGACAAACTTTCGTCTTTCATACAAGATTGCATGTGCTTTTCTCCAACAGCTCAGGAGTGAACATATGGATCCTTAATTTAGTGTGATTAACAGCCGGCAAAACTTTTGGGATTTAACACTGAGAAGGACCTTAAACAATAACTATGCCTTTTTCTGCATGCCATTCCTCATTTTTACTGAAATGTTGTTAATTGGCGATAAACACAATGCTCTGTTAATACCACCCTAATGTTTGTATAGCCTATGGTTAGCAAGGGATCTTGGAAATGAAAGTACTTTGCAGGTGTGGTCCTATGCTGTCGCACGGTATCTCTGAAGTTGTTTGCGAGCTATTTCCAAAATATTAATTTTTGATTCTGTAATTGAAAATATTGTGCTAGTGCTCGTGAATAAGAGTGGCCGTGTCCAAGTGACTACTTTGTAGCTAATTGTCGTGTATTACACCATGGGCTGTCATATTAAACCCTATCCTCACGGTAACTCCCGGGGATACTGACTCAGTTAAAACGGTCGTAGAATGAATAAATACAACAGCACGGTATTTCCCACCCAGTAAAGAATCGGAATTAACAGTGATTAAATTGTATGATTATCAATAACTATCACTTCAAAAAAAATATAATCAGATAAAAGAACTGATCGATACACGGCCACTCTCGGGGAATGCGTGACGGGCCACAGTAATTAAATTATTTTAATTCGCGTAAACATATCTTCTTCTACTACTTCTTCCTCGTGAAACAGACCTAAGGGAATTCTAAGTCATATATCGTTCGTGTTTTTCCGTGGAAAGTTCTAAGAGATATTTTCCCTTAAAAAGGTGAAATATAAGCAGTTATGTTCCCTGTCAATTCAATTTGTTGAAACGACGCATCTAAGGCTAATTTGCATACGGAGAATGAAGTCGCGTTGTGATCGTCGACCAGGAAAAAAACCAAGAAAAAGCGATTACCAAGTTTTCTCCTCATGTTTTCAAAAGTCCAACATTTAAAGGGTCTAATGACATTTGGTGATAACTAGAAACGTTAAAACTGTGGAAATTAGTCGATCAAATGCGGACCGTTACAATTCCAGCTTTGCTGTCAAAGTGGCGAATTTGTAACATTAACGGAACTTTGTACAGCGCGCAGAGAAGAGTGCCCACAAATTTTATTGCATTAAGAAGTAGACTGGTCTTAGTACTTCTGATTCATCACAGACTTGAGTCTGGGTCAGGTGCCACTTTCGCGAAATTACCGTTCAGCTCTAGTTATACAAATTACTTTCCTGCTGAGCAAATTAACGGTCATTTAAAAAAAATCATATCTCAGCCAAATTTCGACAGAATGCAACCATTAAACTTTGACACTGTTAATGAGAGTTAAAACATTTGTGTGTAAAATAATCAGCTTATTCGGCTATGTAAGGTAGGTTTGACAGAGCCCTAAAAATTCACCAAAATCGCACCACTTCTGAAGGCAAACGGGCCAGTTTTAGGTGACCGAGAAAGTCTTCCTGTAATATAGAGAAAAAATTGAGTTGGTCCAAATAAATGTGATATTTCTTCATGGGATAGGATAGTTATCTTCCACTGAAAAAATCAGGGCAATCCGTGATACAACGAAATTTGCCTTATCGGTTCTTACGCGGACAGCCTCTTAAAGAGTCAATATCTTTCACGCGCGCTCATCTTGCCTGTCTCTGGTTAAGATCCTGCAGCTATCTATTAACGCACCTGGTGAAATACTGGCGTGGCACTACCCGACATTGGAGGAACTATCCACACCCAATCTGATGGACAGCCACCTCGAACCTTCATCTATGAAAGATGAAAAAAATATTCTGAGGATCACATTTGGTATGGTTTGCCATAGGGGTGGATTTTCTGCCATGTATGAACTCTAATGGTATGTGCCGCTGTGAGGGGAAGGGTTTTCTAGCGGTTATACTCTGGCATAAGGTGTGGTAATGGTGTAAATTTTGGTCTGGAATATCATTCATGGGAAATTGATGACTTGTATGACGGACTGGAGTTTCTGCATGGTTTGGTAGGACAGAGATTTTTGGTGCCTTATCATGAGTTGTGTTAAACATGGTATGGTATGGGCTTAGATTTGCAAGATTTCAGCGGCACAGCCACCCTGAATTTCACATAATACACTTAGGGTAGCGCAAAAAAGTTATCCCGGGGATGAAGAATAGAGCGTTTTCACATGACGTCACGGCGGCCATATTGGTGTTCCAAAACAATAGAACAGCGGCCATGTTGGTGTTCCAAACCAGTCCTGTGGGAGTTGAACCCTTTTCTTATGTAAATTCTTTCTTTTGTTTCCATATATTTGCATAGATGCTGGCCACGTGATTGAAAACGTCCTATATCTCAAGCATGAGACACCAGTTCTCAAACTCAGTAATTCATTAAGAATCAGTGTTTGGAAATCGGATGAAACACTAATCCTAATTTCTCCTTCAAAAATGATTTTGTTTAAGAAATATCAAACAGAGTTTCACCAGAAAACACGACGCGCAGCGCGAGTATTTTCAACTCTTTTTCGGTGTTTCATCTGGTGATGAAAACTGCATTCGATGTTTGATATTTACATGAAACATCTGGCGATAGAAGGTGTTTCATCTGGTGATGGAACACTGTGTCGAATGCTTGATATTACTTCTCAAAAAAAAGATTTTAGAGGGAGAAATTAAGGATGCAAAACTGAGTAGTTTTTCATCTGATTTCCAAACACTCATTAAACATTAATTTCCTTTGTACTTTCTTTATAAATTATTAATGAGTTTGAGAAGGTGGCTTGACTGACCATTTGCCATGCCTTCTACACTTTGTAATTCATCGCAAGGAAGTGATAAAGTATATTGTGTTTTAATTCCAGGAGCGTTCATACGGTCGGGTAGATGACGACATTTAAAAAAAATTATATACGTTTACATCCCAGACGAATTTTCCTTTCTTTCAGTTTTTCTTACTGGCGTAAAGGTACCCTAATGACAAACAGCAGTATCTAAACACCCGAAACATCGCAACCTTCGTAAATGGCTGCATGACACCCCAAAGCGAAAAGATTATTTTATTCTAAGTAAGGAAATAATTCTTGTCTTCCAAACCTCTTTTTTCATGTGTTTCATGAATGACTCAGTGGCAGAGTGATGATCAGTGGTAGTAACTCCTGCTTCCTGGAAAACCAAAATTGATTTAAAAAATCATATCTTTAATCATTAGGTCTGACCAGGACCACCTAACCATGATTTCAATCCCATCCTATCTCATTTTAGTAAAATCCAACTAGTGGTCTGTTATCAATGCTGCATTTTGACTGGTTGAGCTACCACTAGGCTATATGTTATAGCCCACTAGTAGCGAAAAGAGCCGGCTTTGAAAACCAAAACAATGGCGGCTGAATCGCGTTTTGCTAGCTAAAGTTTTTAGTTGGATTTTACTAAAACAATTATTCCTCTCGCCCTCATGGGCTCTGAGTCAATAGCCCATGAGGCCGAATGGATAGATTTTTAGTCTGCATTGTATATCTTCTAGCCTGAGTATCGGGCGTTTCTGGGGGAAAAGGGGAAAGATACTCAGGCTATATATCGTCAGGCAGTATTCCGCGGGTTGTACCCTGTTTATAGGGGGCGGTATTGGGTGCTAGTTCAGGCCATAGACATTATTCGGACTAACCTGGAAACTGTGCAAGACGGCATAGTTGAGTTCCACCATTGCATAATCCTTCCACAATGACGTGTTTCTTGAAGTATCTAAACCCATCTTTTTAGCCACAACCTAGAACAACCGCTAGGACAATTTAAACTCATGACTGACGTAGAAAAAAGTCATACTCAGCCAAGTTATAAACTAAACAGTTTTTCTTTAAGCCCTGACAATGCGTAGCTTCTTCCTGAGCAATCAGTTCAAGAAATCTGTCTGAAACTTTTTAAAATCCAATTCATGAACCTTTCTTAAATATATAATAGGGGAAAATTCGAGACTTTGCGAGACTGTGAGACCCTGGGTTTAGAATTTGAGACCGAGACTTAAGCCTGAGACTCTAAGTGCCGAAAATTTTGTATAAATAAAGCTAATTAAAATGACCGAAGACGCCAATCATGGAAGGCAGCGGAAACCCACCAATATACTGCCTTAGCTAATGCGAGTTGCCCGCCACTGTCCTGTTTTACTTTAAATTTGAGACCGAGAACTTGAAAAAGCCTGAAAAGAATAAAAAACACAAAGACCTGTCCAAAAAAAAAAATTTTGTATAAATCAAAAAAGATTTCGAGATGGGGCCAAAATTTTCGGCCAATGTTGTAAAAGGAGTTGCACGTTTTTGTCGGCCGGTTTACTGTTAGTAGCTCTTATTTAACAATAGCCTATTCTTATCAAAAGAGCGTATAGTTACTGTACGATATCTACGATATAAATTATTTTCTCTTTGAAGCCGATCGATCGAGCCAGGCTTATTAAGATATCATGCCTTACTTCCAACATGTTGAATCGATGTGGGTCTCCTAAATCACGGGCTCCAATCTCTGTCAACAAATACCTGAAACATATCAGCAACATATTTATACTGATGACGGCCATGTTGTTCCCAGTGATAAACGTTCGCTGTTAAGATGGTATTAGAAAGGCAGTGGAAGTAGGATGATATACACGAATTAAGCCTGATTCCTGACCCTGGAATTTTAAAAACTTGACTGCTTGATATTGACAATGATCTCTATTATAACACCCTTAAAAGAAACGGTTTGAATCAAATGCTTAAGATTGTCGGTCACAATGATGATGAATTTATGACCCTATACGGTATCTGAAAAAATCCCTTCTCCGATTTTTTCTGAGGAGACGGGGTGACTGTACACAGGCTACACTAAAATCGAACAGATAACACAGTGAAAACATGAACAAACAAAACAGATGTTACCATGCGCTTGATGGCGCTGCTGTGAATTCCAGGCCTCCTGCGTCCAGCAGCAATCCAGTCTGAACTGGAACAGTGAACCACTTTAGGCCCAGTTCTTCAAACCAAGGAAATCTGGCCAGGAAAAATGATGGTGACGTATTTGACAATCGTTCCGTGACGAAATGAGTTGTATGGACACAAAAATTAAACCGGTCTGTTAACTGGACAATATAAGCTTGAAATAGTCCTTGCTGCACTGAGATACAACTTACTTTGGGTGTTTAATCTTCACTTGAAGAACAATGTCTTCCGGGATTTCAAAAAGCTCAGGGGGTCCACCATTAGCTTGTAGTACCAAGGGCAGAATGTCAAATCTGCCCCCTTTTCCTTTCCAACCAAGAGACTGACAAAACTGAGTGATAAAGGAAAAAAGGACATATTATTAACTATTCTTACTCTCTTTACATATTTCGAAACAACGTCTTGAGACTTAGGGCCGATTATTTAATCCAAGTTTAGACAGCGTTTATGAAAGTCGTCTTCTAACCTATGTTTTTTAAACGATGAATAACAATTAACAATTATTGGACGAGGTTGAGCAAAATATCGTGATTTGTCTGTGGCGAGCAGATCAATTATTTGCCGAAGCGAAGGCTGAGGCAAATAATTGATCTTCGAGACACTGACAAATCAAGATATTTTGCGGTAACCGAGTTCAATAATTTTTTTATCATTCGATCACCGAGTTTGTTTTTTTTAATGAATATCCTTGGGAAGCGATGCGATCTGCCATTTTCACGCAAGAGCGATCGCAAGAAGGAGAAAAGCACTGTCTCCTTTACGCATGAGCAGAATATTATTTGCAGCCAAACACTGTTGGACGGCATTGAGAATGGGCAGACCATTATTTGTAGGCAGTTATTTGCAGGTCACGTGGTGGGCTCTCGGCCAATGAAAAGAAAGAAAAATTTGCTTCGAATGATAATTATTTATGTTCTTTCTCAACCTTGTTTAGATCGTGTCTAAACACCGACTACTAGAACAATAATAAGTTAGACCTGCTCACAGGTAGGTTTAAACGTTGTTAAACAGTTTCTCATGCTTATCCATTTTGAAATGGAAGGAATAAACTACCCTACAGACGGTTAAGAGACTACGCCAAATCGACGTAATATACATGTTTGACAAATTTGGCACCTTAAGCGGACAGATGTAACTCTTCGGAGGAATACAATAAGGAGGATTTTCGATTGCGTTTTCGCCTTAGACACCCGGACTCGGCCATTGACAAGGACAGATCTGCCGCTTTCACCAACGCAGAAAGTTATTATACTGCTTTGAGATTTTATACAACAAAAACCTTCGAACAGGTTACTGGTGATATATTTATTTATCATTGCATAAAGGGATTGTTGATTTAGGGCCATAAATCCATAATAAATGAAGCAATTAATGACTAAGGGGAATCGCCAAGGATCTTTCAGACAATCGACAATCGACGTCTTTGCATTGACAACTATTGATAAAAAAAAACGTTTCCCTATTTAACCTGTTCAACCTATTCAATGCGTCTATGAGATACCTCAGTAAAATCAGCATTCGCGGGATCGCCAATCACTGTCCCGTCAGGCTGCCTGTATCCAGCCCAGCAGAGCATAATACTGTTCCAAATTCGGAAGTCTTTGTTTAATTCCTTCCTTTGTGGAAAGACTGTTATCAGAGGCAGTATGTTTCCGCCATTTGTCGAGTATACCAAATGTTTCTTAAGATATTCGAACATTTCTTGGGTGGTGGTTATGTGGCGTGCATCAATTAGCTAGGAATAGCAAAAATAGCAGAGATCAAAACTATATGCCCTAGAGATGCCAAGCAGAATGTACTCACAGAGAAGAAGTCATGCTGTTATTTTGATAATAAATTCATGTAAATATATTTCACAGCTAATTGTAAAGGAAGGTATCTCTAATAAAAACGACTGTGATTGTGATGATCGAGAAAATGACATCTACGAAGATGCTAATAACCATCATCATTGATGATGATGACGATGATAATGATAACGATAATGACGACGATAATGATGATGATGATGATGATGATGATGATGATAAGAACTATTATCAGTACGATAATAGCAGTATGATGTGCGGATGTGACAACAAAGGCGACGGCGCTAACAATGACAATGATAACAATACATAAAACATAAAAGTACGTTTTTAAAAAACTTTTTTAAGCGCCATATATTTAAGGGAGACGTAAACTGATGTTTGTGATGTAAGATGCAGCTCACAGTCAGGAAACCAAGCCTGTTTGAAAAACCTACTGCTCGGGATAACAACTCTTTTAATAGCGATTTCGTGAAATGAGAGTGAGGCTTGTCAGGGTGAAAATCGAAAGTGACACGATGTGTCTTCAACCTCACGGAGAAGAAAACACAATGCAAATTAAAAAGATCTGTTTCAGCCCCAAAGTGCCAATTCAGCCCTGTAGGCCAAAGTCTGATTCAGCCCCTTCTGGAGCCATTTGAGCACAATTCAGGCCAAAAACGCTCAATCAAAAGGCTATTCCAGCCCACGCTTATGCCCATTTCATCCCGCGGGTCCAAATCAGCCCTAGGTAATTGCACTGTGTTGGCCTTGATTTAAGGCAGCCAAATTCTAATAGGACTGTATTTTACTCACCGAAACGGCCGCATTTTTAGGGCTAAAACAGATCTTTCTGATTTACAGTGCAGTTTTGATCTTCTTCTTCCTTGGGTCCGCGATAGAAACATGAAGTCAAGATCCGCACCTCTAAACTGTTCCACTGGAATCGTCCAATGCACCTTGGAGTGTTTCTCCATGCAGTTTTCGCCGCAAAGAGTAGTTCCTTTTCTGTCATCTCGTAGGTGCCACACTCCTCAATAGTCTCTATAACCTCTGCCAACCTTTGCTGATGTTCCTTATCACCAAGACTGCAAATAAATTACGAAACAGGGAGAAAGTAGAACCCTGATAGGGTCAATGCTTTAAATATTGTGAAAGCATGTTTGAAGGTCTGATCCAGGAGACCCATTTAAACATTACCGAAAGAGCGTTTCTAACTGAAATTTGCGCTTTATGATGCCGTTTGGTTTTAGGTAAACTTCTAAAATTGGATATAAAGCGGCTGTTTCTTTCATTTCTTTCGTCTAAATTAGTCATGCTGAGTGAAGAAGTTTTAATATTTTTAAAATCCTTTAACTATTAGGGTGTTGTCTTTTTAAAAAAAACGTACGTGGTACATTGAGCTCCTTTTCTCAATTCTACATCATACTGAACAAATCTTATTTAGTCTTTTTATCTTTAAGGGTTTCTTGGTTTGCAAATTACCTCATTCACACACTTGTAAACAAGAAAAGTAACAGCGAGTGAAGCTTAAGGCCATAGCTCAAACCAACTATTTTGTACTCACAGATTAATGGAGGAGTAGTACTGCTCAAAGAAATCCTTGGCATGAATTTTGACCTCTGCTTTATGTCTTGGTACTCCATATGGCCTATTTGCTGGTATTTCTCCACCATATGGGAAAACAATCGATCCCGTGCATCGACCATTAGTGCAATGAATTGGCTATAGAGAAGGAAAATATGTCAGATGGAGAAAACTAAATGTTCAAAAAAGGTTAGGCATTAGTGAAAAATTTACAAGGGTGGTGTTGTGCAAGATATTTTTGAAAAGCCGGGTACTGAAAGTCTATTGTACCATTTAGAAATTAATGATGCTGAAAAAAACCTTTAGCAGAACTAGTGAATCTATCAAAAACCATGTTCAAACTTAATTTGCAATAAAAGTTCGTTTTCAATGCCAAGGAAAAACCGTGCACAGAGATTTGGACAGCGTTAGTGAATACCTAAAACGTTAAAAACGAACGTTAAGTTTCCCTGGATTCCAATCACCTCTCCCCGGGAGAGCAGACCCGTGAATGATTTATCATCGTGATTCTCCTGGCGGAATTGCTTTTGTGCGCATGAGTGAGACTTTTGGCGGCACAGCCACCAATCTCGTTCCCAGAGGCCCTCGATCCTTTTGGTCAGCCCCGTCGCTGACCAAAAGGATCGCCGCCTCTGGGAACGAGATAAGAGAGTGTCGAAGTAGGCTGAGTCTCCAGAAAGACACCCAAGGCTGAAGACTGAGCCTAGTGCCAAAGGTGCAAGAACATTGATTTGAAATTGTCTCCTCCCTACTCTCCTCGAGGCCTTGAAACTCTTCTGCCAAAAATGTGTGCGCGCTAATATCCAGGCTATAATATTTCAAGCTAAAAATTGATGTCAAGAAGACTAAATCTCACTCACGTCCTTTACTTTCTGATGTAGAGTATCAACAATTTCTGTTCCGTCCACCCAGTTCTTCAGCTTTAAACATTTAGGTCCATGTTCTCTCATCTTGAATTCTCCATTTTGGCCACTAAACGGACATTTCTCTTGGACTGCCATAGCTAGCACAAATAGACAATGAAAACTTATACCTCCTTATCAGTGGAGGCAATCAAAGACCTCAAATAGCCTGCACAACATACGTAAAAAGAATACTGTATTGCTTTAAACTAGAAATAAGTGTATCACAGAACCTCGCGAAGTGTGCCATGTTGCCTGGAAGCACAAAATGCTCCGTGACGTCATTTCCATAACGTCAGGGCGGACACCAAAAGATTCATTCATAAATAGTTAGAAAGAATTATGGGGCATCAGATTTAGACTGGTCACAGTCCCCTATTTTTTCGTGAGATCGTTTAGATATAGCGCGTCTTACCGTCAATGACGG